AGGGAGGAAGTGAGGGGGGAGGGAGGGAAGGAGGGAGGGTGAGAGGGAGGCAGAGAAGGGGGAAAAAGGAGGAGGAGGAAGAAGAGGAGGAACAGGAGGAGGAGGTGGTAGAGGAGGAGAAAGAAAGAAGATGCGGAAGAAGAACGAAGAGAAGGAAACGGAGGGGGAGGGGGAGGGGGAGAAGGGGATGAGGAGAAGGAGGGGGAGGACGAGGATGAGCAGCAGTGGGGTGGAGGCGCAGGGCCTGGGCTGGAGGCCTGGAAATAGGCACCCAAACCAGCAGCGGGCCTCCTGTTAGCAAACCTGCAAATGAGTCACATGAGGGCGATACTCCTGTGCAGTCAACCCGTATAATAAGGATGCGCGATAAGGATGCAAGGGCCTTGGAGGGCCACGTTAACGACTTTCGAACGAGGCTGGCCAGCGAAAGTCGCCAAGGATAGGCCGAATGGGGAGGATGCAAAGGTAGCCTCGGAACGTCGCCCATCCTTACTACGCGGGTTGACAATATAAGCAGGCGTTGGTGGTAATAGTTCGGCCACCTAGAAGCCCGGGAAGCTTAGCGGGAGGAGGTGGGGGAGGGGGGCAGGGGACTAGAGGGATCCTGGGTCCTGGATGGGGTCCGAGTAGATGGGGTCGGAGGATCACGGCAATACATCGGCGGCGCATCGGAGACGTCGGCGTGGAGAACATCGGGCTCCGCATCGACACGACGAGGGCGACGAGGAGGACGACGACGAGGAGACGCACGAGGACGACGACGACGAGGGCGAGGGCGAGGACGACGACGACGATGACGACGGCTGCGACCACGAAGACGACAAGGAGGATGACCACGACGAACCCTTGTACTCGACGAAGGGGACCCCAATGGCACCTCGAAGCGTAGTACACAATGCAAGCCGATCAGTCGCAGGCAGCTGGTGCCTCGATCTCTGTCCGTTACGCAAGCCTGAAGAGGGCAACGACGAGGACGGCAACGATTTGGACGCACGAGATGGGTACGGGAAAAATGGGCACGACGCCAAACAAGACATGTTGTCCCAAACTGAGAGCGGCCACTGTTGCCCAAGCGGCCTTCTGTCTCAACTTGGCAACGTTCGCGGCCACGCCGAGTGAACCACTGTTAAAATGGGTAGGACATCGATAAGCAATAAACGTATCCCGAAACCCTTTGGGAGGGGACCCACATTAGGAGCGCCCACAGCATTAGGGAGGGGGGTCTGTTCTACAGATGTACCGCACCAAAGCATCCAGACAAAGACGAGGACTTAAGCCACGTCATACCTGTGTGATTTGGGTTAAGAGCTCCTTGGTTCTCGATAGGAACTGCTGTCGGTCTTCGTAGACCCTGCTTTTTTATTGTTCGCGATGACAGGCGTGATCGGGGAGGGGGGGAATTCGCCCCCCCCCCGATCACATCACTGCGGGGGGCCGTCAGAAATCTTAGGAATTCTGGGTAACATCCCCAAAACAGCGTGACGTGATCCAGGGGGAGGGGAGAAAACCGATCACGGCCGTTGTCGTCGCCGTCGCCGTCGTCGTCGTCCTCCTCCTCAACCTCAACCTCGTTCTCCTCGATCGTACCGAAACGACGCAGACGCAAAAGGGGAGAACCTGTTCCCAGCGGATGCCCGTGCGCCCTCGCGGCTGGCCGCCCCGGCCGGTCAGCCCCAATGGACGGGGATGCTCCGGTCCACTTGAGCAGGGACCGACCGTCCTGGCATTCCTATAGGCCTACCACGACATGTTCCTGGAACCCAAACATGTTCGAACAACTGAAACACTGTTCTCAGAACGCAAGCCCGATGTGTTCAAACAGGAGAGACTCGGCCAGAATTATTCTGAGAACATGTCGTGCAGAGCAAGATTCTAGAGACATTGTTTTTTTAGAAAAGGCGATAACCCGGGTTATCCCGGGGGTTCGGGGGGAGGAGAGGACCGGCCGATAACCTAACCCTCGCGCTGTGGACAGCCCTGCATATGCCCGCGCCCCCCCCCCCCCTCCCGCGGACCCGCACAACCGGCAAGGTTGGCTTATCCTGGGGGGGAGGGCGGGGGAGGGGGGTGGGGGGCAAGCCCGACAACCCGGGCTCTCGCCCGACCCTAAAAGGAGAGTCTCCTGAGAGCAGTCTCTGGTGAGCCTACAGTCGGGAGCGGCCAAGAGGGGGGTGTCCAAGAGGGGGGGGTGCAAATCATGACCGGCGGCATGTGCGCGGCCCAGCGGGGGGGCCGGGGACGTAATGAAACAAGAAGAGGCGCCATGAAATCTGGGGAAATATCATGGCCCGCGCCATGATATCCACCCCCCCCTAGTCATCACCCCCCTCTTTTCCGCTCCCGACATTCTCTGGTGGGCCTATAGCCGAGCCGGGACGCTTCGCCACTGCTTCACGCCGGCCGCCCCGGCTGGTCAGCCCCAGTGGGCGGGGATGCTCCGGTCCACTGGCGCCGCGGGCTCCGCCTTGGGCATCTTCGCCTCGGGCGCTGGCCGGGGCGGCGCGGGCCGTGGTGGCTGCGGTGGCAGGTCGTGGTCGTCGCCGTGCTCCTCGTGGTCCTCCTCCTTCCTCCGCCCTCCTCCCCCCCTCCTCCTCGTCCTCCTCGTCCTGCTCCTCCTTCTTCTCCTTCCTCCTCCTCCAACTCCTCCTCCTCCTCCTCCTTCTCCTCCTTCTCCTCCTCCTCCTCCAGATCACCCCTTTTCCTCTTCCTCCTCCTCCTCCGCCTCCTCATCCCTTTTCCTCCTCCTCCTCCTCCTCTTCCTCCCTTTTCCTCCTCCTCCTCCTCATCCTCCTCCTCGTCTTTCTTATCTTCTCCTCCTCCCACTCGGCTCCACAACCGTCGTCGCCGCTCGTCCCCATCTTGCTCCATCCTCCCACTCCTGGAGAGAAGGGAGAAGAGCCCTGGGAGGACGGGGAGGGGGGCTGACCCGAATCGCCTGTATCATGGCCGCGATGTCCTCGTAGCCCTGCTCGGCCGCCACGGTCGCCGCGTCCTCGCCGCCTCCTCCATCCTTCGGCACCTCCTGTTCATAGTCTGTTCCAGCGCAGTCTTTTGGAGGCGGAGGAGGAGGGAGGACGAGAAGACCTCTTGGGCCGTCTTGGGGCCTCTCAATCTGTCTTGAGGCACTCTTGTGAACCTCATGGCTTCCAGGTCGGCCTTTCATGCAGCCGCGATGACACCAAGACCCAAGATGGCCCAAGACGGCTCAGGCTCCCAACGCAGCCTCAAGACAGATCAATCAAGAAGCTCCAAAGACGGCCTAAGAGAGCTCAAAGAGGCCCTCCTGGAGAGTTCATGGAGGCCAACACCAGTGATGTTCCTTAGGTGTTTAAAGGGTGTCGAGGTTCTCGCTAGTGCGGGCTTCTGACCGCCCAAGACGGCCCAGGAAGCCTCCAAGAGGCCTCCAAGAACGCTCCAAGACAGCCCAAGAGACCCCGAAGAGGGCCTCACGTCGGCCCAAGAAAGTCCAAAAGGTCGCCCAAGGAGCTCCCAAGAAGGCCCAAATACGGCCGGGAACCGCTCCAAGAGGGCACCAACACGGCCTAGAGAAGCCCCCCGCACGGCGACCACCAGGGGCGTCAGACGGACCAGGAGTCCCCAAGACTGCCCGAGAGGCCCCAAGAGGCCCCACGAGGCACCCAACAGACCCCCCAAAGATTTGTTTTGAACGGTCGCCCGGCGGAGGGCCAGAGAGGAAACCAACGCCCATGGGAAATTGCGCAAGCAGGGGCAATGACATGCAGTTGGGGACAGCAAAGCTTGTGGATGCTATGACAGTGGACACGCTAACAGTTCGATCATTGAGTTAAGCACGTGTTCAGCATGAGCAAAACATGTTCTAAACATGGTTCAAACATGCGTTTAACATATTTAAAACATATTTGAAACATGTGTTAGGCCTCTGGAAATTATTTGGCAACATGCTTCCTCTCCATGAATCGACTTCCACAAAGCAAAGCCCACCCCCACTCCCAGCCAGGATGGAGTGGAGTGTTGAGAAGCTGCGCCAGACCTCTCGGAGAACGCAGTGCTTTCGCAACCGAACGCGTGCAAATTCGCAGCGAGGAGTGGCCCCTGATTTCCCAACAGCCGCGAATAAGGGGCACTGAGTAGTCGGCGTGCAAAGCAGGCTGCCGCGTGCAATGTTCAGCATTCGGGAGTACCCCTGGAGGCCACCAGGAGGCCCCAAATGTGGCACCAAGAGGCCATCTCCTCCTGCTCCTCCTCCTTCTCCTCCTCCTCTTCCTCCTCCTCCTCCTTCTGCTCATCATTCTACTCCTCCTCCTCCTCCTCCTCGTCCGCCTCCTCATCCTCCCCTCATACTCCTCCCTCCTCCCTCCTCCCTGCTCCCTCCTCCCTGCTCCCTCCTCATCCTCCCTCCTCCCTCCTCCCTCCCCTCTCCACCCTCCACCCTCCTGCTCCTCCTCCTCCTCATCATCATCTTCCTCATCATCATCATCACCATCACCATCACCATCATCACCACCATCACCATCACCATCACCATCACCATCACCATCACCATCACCATCACCATCACCATCACCATCACCATCACCACCACCACCACACCACACCACCACCACCACCACATCATCATATCCTCATCATCATCATCATCATCATCATCATCATCTCATCATCATCATCATCATCATCATCATCATCATCATCATCATCATCATCTCATCATCATCATCATCATCATCATCATCCATCATCATCATCATCATCATCATCATCATCATCATCATCATCATCATCATCATCATCATCATCATCATCATCATCATCATCATCATCATCATCATCACATCATCATCATCATCCATCACCACCACCACCACCCATCATCATCATCATCATCATCATCATCATCATCATCATCATCATCATCATCAT